TCGCTTGAAGAGTAGCGGAGTGAACGCCTACGTGGAGGCTAACTCAAACACAGGCACGCGTGCATCGGGCGCTTTGCGTTCACTTGATGCAAGTCGCCGGATTTAGACAGGCTCTCATAACGCCTTATTATGAAAGTGAATCCATTTAAAAGGATTACCACGGAAGAGCCTCCGTATATATGCTTCAATGGTTTCCTGACCTCCGGGCAAGTAGAGACAGGGGATTCTTTCTACCGGGCAAGGATTTTTCTGCAATTTGGTGATTTATTTGCAAATCGCTCCACCAGTTCGTTCTAACCGTCCTCCTGTCTCAAGCATTTGATAGAAATTTACCCGCGCTCTTCAGATCTTCCACTAGATCGACTCTTTTTCGTCATCATTTCTGAGTTTTGCAATGAGTTTCTCTCGTTGTCTAGCTTAACCTGTGTATCACGACGACACGTATTCTTTACACATTTAGAGTTTCTCCCTGTTTTTCATGAACTTCAACTATACGTATACTTTCAGGCATATTTTCCGCTCAGTTACGCTCGTTCCACTCAGCGCCACAGGTGGTGCGTTCTTTCTCTTCCCCTGCTCTCAGGCATATCAGAGTCCAGACTAGGTACTCGACAGCCAGAATGCACGATACTCTGATATTTCGCTTGCACATATATCTACCTCACTCGCTATTATGATTAGACCCAGCGAGACCGCATGTTAGGGGACTTTCAGACGCTAAAGCCAACTGATTAGATTTAGTTCATCTCCAAGGAACCGGAGACAAATACCAACACCATGTAGCAGTATTTTGTTTTGAAACGAAAATGATGAAACCAACAAACCAATAGACCGATTGCTGCACAGACACAGCATTCCACTGTCATTACACAAAAACGAAAACATGGACCGACAAGGCTTACGCTCATGTTAGGAATGGTTAAGGCCCATCAGAGTCATGAAGAAAGCATCCACTCTACGGTGTGTCGAACATACACGGACGAACTGACTCCCATGGAATTTGCAGCGATCAGCTGCACGGTACACTGAAGGTCGGTTAAAGCAAACCTATTGCTACCGCTTGAGGTGTTTGGAAACATAAGGCAAACTGCGCCGCCCACCGACTGTGAATACCTTGACTAATGTAATAAAATATCGCGAATTGCGGGAAGACGTGAATCAACTACAATGGACGAAGCTTGCGGACAGTTGTGCGGCTGAAACAATTGTTTTAACTTTCTTCATTGATGCAAAATATGCGGTGTTACTCCTGTAAATAATTCCTGATATTTATATCTACTTGACTGCTCAAATACCTAAGTGTATGCCGGTATCTCGACAATTGCTATTACGACCTAAAATTGCGGAATCCGAATTCATTCTTGCCAAACAAATCGTGGATGTTTGCTGTTAAACAACCGAGTGCTCCATTATGACTTGCGAAAAATGCCAGGGTGGCCTTGACGTTGAACATGGCTGACAGCTGAGTGGACATAGCTGACGCACGCCAAAAACTTGGAGAGGAGATAAATTTAAACTGATCCGAAAACTGACGGTGGATTAGGGTGGTCTTTGGCCTGAGCTATATCCGAGAAAAGGCAACATTGTGGCGCAAGAAAATTTAATCCAGTTGCAAAAAATATTGTGCCTCTAAGGTGCGGCGCGAATCGCCAAGAATGGTACTGCCCATTTGTGGGCTGTCAGGATGAAAAAGTGCCACAAAGATAGTTGGTAGCCTGAACCCGTGATTTTTCGGTGACCACTAAAGGCATACTCGGCTGTTTATGCAGGATATGTCGTCAAAGCGCTGCATCGAAATTTAGGGAACCGTATGACTAAAGACTGACATTTTCAAGGCAAGTTAGTCCTATCTTAGACAGGCAAGTAAATTCATCAATGGAGCATGTAGCAGTATGTTTCGATAAATGCCCCTTAAGTGATTGTAAATAGGGAGCGTTAGCTGTCGTTCATAAACGGAGTGACAAAAGCGCTGCGTCCAAGCACAGTCGAGTTAGGTTTGTCTGTTTTATCAAAGGTAATGAAACGGACTCTGAATGAGAGATCATTGATGCTCAAGACAAAAAGCAAGCGTGCTTCAGACAGTCGAGTTAGGTTTGTCTGTTTTATCAAAGGTAATGAAACGGACTCTGAATGAGAGGTCAATGACGCTCAAGGCAAAAAGCAAGCGTGCTTCAGTGAGTTAGCAACCGTTTCGTGAGAAATGCTCGGGCGGATCCAATCTAAGCCGCCTTTTAAAACGAAATAACAAGAAAACGGTGAAAACAGGGCTGCCTTCCAAAGTGCATGAGGGCTTTTGGCACAGTGCGGCATCGATTACCACGGCAAAGGTTGGCTTGTTGACGCTACTCTGGAAATTCTTGATTTCCACGCGGTATCCTTAGAAGTAAGAGCATTCCGTTTTGCAGAAGGGACAAAGTCTGTGTTATTTTCTGCTTGTATTGTTGTCCGCTTGACTGTGTTTCCCACATAAACACCCCACTTGAACCCCTAAACCGTCCAGACTTCGTCGTTTTTGATGGCCTGGGGATCTTGAAAAAAACCAGGATGGACATTGGTGTCCACAGAAGTGGTTATTAAAGTGGTATTCAAGTCTGGATCCAAAGGAACACTACTGTCTAATGTACAAACCGGAGGCCGCATAGTCAAAAACGGGTCGACCACGGGGAAATGTACCGGTAACTATATCTTGGATCTTTGATTCCCAGCGTCAAACTTCTTCCATGAACTCAAAGGGGCACTCTTTCAGAAAGTTGCGCTGGAAAGACTGTAGCCCCAAAAACTCAGAGTTTCCACTCCAGATATATCGTGCTATGGCGAGGTGCACTTTGAGCTCTGAGCTTCTAATAGGTGCCATACTATCACTCGTTCGGCCGCGCTTAACTGTGTGCGACAGTGAAGTGGCTTAGGTCTTACGGTGTTCAACTTATTCCTATTTGAAACGCGTCGAGCACGCGCCCACATTTTCGGAACATCTAGGTTGTTCCAAGATCTGGTACATGCAAAGAATTCCATACAATTTTCAGCCGAAGAGCATGACCTAATTATATTGTTTTGAAGTGGATAAAGTCTACCCAAAGTGTGCTCGTGTTTTCTTACTGAGTCATCAAACATTGGAATAAGTTGTTTTCTGAAACGGTGGTGGCCACTGTGCTAGACGACTTCAAGTAGAACTTGTATACCCGCTCGTCTAGAACCTAACTGAAGCGCGTCTAGGGGCTGAGTGGTGGCGGTAAAGACCGTTTTTGGCAGACAACACTGCAGTCACTGGGCTATATATACTAACTACCAGAAACTCCGCCCCGGATGACCATTGATGGAGTCTTCAAGGTTAACCTTATTGCGGGAATCGTGGCTGTTTTCTAAGACCATATAAATTGTGCGCCACACTGGCTCCAGCCATTCGGTTTCCTTGTCCAAAAGTAGCCTTGATCGACCTAACGAAATTCCTCGTCTTGAAAATTTCGCTTGCCTTGAACGACCGTCTACAATTGCACCTGTAGACACCTGCTTCACACCAGACCTCTCTGTTCCTCAGATCTTGCTTAGTGATCACCCTATTCTACGGGCTGATTTCAAAATTCGGGACGTCAGGTAGGGCCGCTTTATCATTTATTCCAACTCTGCTCATCTTGAATATTCTCTAGGAACAACGACAGCGTACTTTTTTGAGACATTGGGGGCTACAACTTTTTTTGCCTCGGACCAACCCTCTTTTCGGCACCATTTGTCCTTACCACTGAAGGCTGCCGGAAGGCCACCTGTTCATCATGCAAACACATGGTCTCAGCTATAACTTCGAGTATACTTTTGGAAACTGATTCAGCGCCCCCAGGGCCTCTTGTGGAGAGATTCTGCGAGTCGATCCTAGTGGAAGTCCTGCATCAGCGCTGACCAAAGTCGCTCAACGATGTGGTTAGACTCAGCATGTCGCCCCACCCGCCAGATCTGCTCAAGACAGCAGCCGTCGCCGCCAAAGCTGGTTATAACCTGTGAATGGCAATACGTCTGAAGAGTGATAATTTAGATCCCCGGTTAAAGCGTTGTGCTGGTTTTGATATAATATACTACTGGACCAGCAGTCGTTAGCCAAAAGAGCACTTCGAAGCATGTGAAACAGGACTGCTCAGGAATGCGAATTTTCCCTGACCGAGCTAGACAGGGAGCAAATTCAGTACGGAAAACATACAAGAAAACCGTTAAAAATTCTCGAAGTGGGGTCGAAATAATCGGAGGTGCCCCAAAAGGAATAGGAATCTCCCTGAAGTGTGGGCCAAACCGTCTTAAAAAGATCAAAAACAGAGAATCAGGAAACAAGCTGGCGTCTCAACGCTGTGAATCATAAACCCGCCAAATAGCCTAGGAAGCATACGTCAGACTCTTCTGAATATGCCAACCAAAAGGTTACCTCAGGACGCACGAAGGACATAACCCTATTGAGCGTGCCAAGGACCGATGCGAAGGTGGTTACCGTCATGAAACCAGCCGTTTACTAAATGCGCTTAGAAGTGTTTGAGCTCTTTTAACTGGACTATCGTCGATTCTGAGGGGACCTGATACACACTCACGCCTCGTATGAACAGGATTTGTTCGATAGGAGAGACAAGTTAAGGGTTTATTCGGGGCCAGAAGGTACACTTTTGTCGGACGACAATTCCCCTCACTTTGGACAGCTGGCGCGTGGAATAACCTTTCTCCCTACGTTGTTCGTGCTGCATACCAGATCCAGTTCAAAGCAAATTCGGATCCGCTTCATGTGAGTCCTCATGGTGGCAAGCATTACCATCCAAGCCTGGGGACTTGCATTTCAGGTGGACGAAATCCGATGGACAACAAGAATAAACACTACCTATAAAATCTCGATCCTCTGTATCAATAAGTGAATCCGTGAGTACTTTCTGTGCTTCAGAGGTCATGATGATCTTGAAAGTAAAAGTAGTCTGAGGCTGAAGCGGAAATTCCGTCAGCCACTGGAGTACTGGGGGGTACATCTGTATCTCCAGGTGGAATATTGCACACCACCGCTAGTTTTCGCTGTTACGTTCAGTGCTGATGTCCTGAGCAATAATTTGGCCTTGTTCAGTTTGGCCTTGCCTTTTGGATTACTGTCAAGGTCAATCGCCTTTGCGTGTCGTCGGCGCCCCGATATGACAGCAGTTGCGGATTTCAACAATCCGCTTAGGAAATTCAAGCTTGTGTTCCTTGGAGAACAGAGTGGTACGTTTAGGACAAATTGTTAATTCCTGTACAGTCGGCAAAACGTCCCTCATCACTCGCTTCATGTATGAAACCTTCGATAGCGTATACCAAGTGAGTTAAACCTACCCTTATCACACCGTACGTAGGCCACCATAGGCATAGACTTCCTGTCAAAAACCATGTATCTAGAGGACAGAACGGTATTTTCGAAATCTGACTAAATTATGCCCTAACAGATACGTTTACAATTATGGGATACAGCAGGCCAGGAGCGCTTCCGGAGCCTCATACCGAGCTATATACGAGATTCCTCCGTGGCTGTAGTGGTTTACGACATTTGTGGTAAGTTAGCATACTTAGCTTATTTTTAAAGTTGTGGAATCTTTCCAACAAACTGCCAAGTGGATCGACGATGTGCGGAATGAGCGTGGTAGTGATGTCATAATTATGCTGGTCGGCAACAAGACTGACCTCTCGGACAAAAGGTTGGTCCATTGGTTTTTCATTATCATTATCCTTTTAGAAAGGTTACCACAGAGGAGGGTGAGAGGTTAGCCAGAGACCTAAATGTGATGTTCATTGAAACCAGTGCCAAGGCCGGATACAACGTCAAAGTTGTAAGTTGGATTTTTTGTTCGCAAGGCGTGGACATTACCGTTCTAGACCTGTGTAGCGTCATGTAGTATTACCTTCCTCTGGTTGCTTGTCACTAAGCAACATGGGATACAGCAGGCCAGGAGCGCTTCCGGAGCCTCATACCGAGCTATATACGAGATTCCTCCGTGGCTGTAGTGGTTTACGACATTTGTGGTAAGTTAGCATACTTAGCTTATTTTTAAAGTTGTGGAATCTTTCCAACAAACTGCCAAGTGGATCGACGATGTGCGGAATGAGCGTGGTAGTGATGTCATAATTATGCTGGTCGGCAACAAGACTGACCTCTCGGACAAAAGGTTGGTCCATTGGTTTTTCATTATCATTATCCTTTTAGAAAGGTTACCACAGAGGAGGGTGAGAGGTTAGCCAGAGACCTAAATGTGATGTTCATTGAAACCAGTGCCAAGGCCGGATACAACGTCAAAGTTGTAAGTTGGATTTTTTGTTCGCAAGGCGTGGACATTACCGTTCTAGACCTGTGTAGCGTCATGTAGTGTTACCTTCCTCAGGTTGCTTGTCACTAAGCAACTATCCAATCGCGGCCTCGTTATGATATGGATATTAAATCATTGCATATATTTGAACCGAAAACGTCGAATTCAGACCGCCTGTTTATCCGTTGTCTTCGTGAACAATAAGTCCAGTATCTCTCGTTTGAGTTTCGCTTGGGTATACACACCTACCGGAGTTCCCCAAACTTGTCACGGTTTTTTAGCTGTTCAGTTGACGCCATTAGGGAAGGCTTACAATTTTTGAAGATTTGAAGAAATAAAAAGCGGGGTAGTAAAGGGTTGACTCCCAACGCCTGCAGCTGGAGGGCGCCTATCCAAAGGCTTCAAGAACACTAAAGCGAAAATTTTGACAGTGCTATCGGATGTGAACGATGAAACGTCACCATCCGAGACTTGTGTGCCATCGGTCAATATAATCATGAATGGAAGCGCGGTGTATAGAGGACTGTGAGAAGGGTGGCAATCACAATACCGTATGTAAAGTAGCAGGGAGAGTAAGTGGACGGTCGTGATGACCTGTTGTGACCCCAAAACGCAGCTTCTGATATCTGACACATCTTTTATCAGGGACAACAGAGAGGCTGGACTTGACGAAGTTGACATCAAACGGGTTTGAAAATTACTTGTCAAAACAGCAATTATCCCGTTGCAAGTGATGTGCACTTACGGCTGTTCCACGTGGTATGCAATAATTGCATCTTCAGGTAGCCATACCTAGCGTAAAATCTTAGGGCTCCAGTTACTCCCAAACGATTTATCATCCACGGCAAAAAGCTGTGAACAAAGATCTGATCAGAGAATAACAGAGTGGGAAACCACAACCGACCACTGAACAACCGTGCGGAGGAGTTGATTTTTGTGTGCTCACTTAATCAGTGATCGTCTTTTGACGGAAAGTCGAGTCTGTTGATCATCATCATCATCGACAGCATGACATCAGTGTTCAACACTGATGCTTCACTGCCGTACGACCATGATTTATTTGAAAGCCTTATTGTTGAATGTTGAAAAAATGTGTTGAAAGAAAACGAGAGCGAAAGAATGCCCTAGTCCTCAATTAAGACAAAGAAATTTGCCCAGTTTTACTTTGGCACAACATGAAGAATCGGATCCAGGTCTGAACGAACGCCTGAATGCGGAAGAAATGACATACAACGCGGAACTGCCGTAATGGCCTTAGTCAGCTGCTACGCAGGTTCTAGGCTTATATAAATTGGTGTATATTCAACAATAAGGACACGGAAACGTGATCATTGAATCATGAGAATGCCACTTTTTTCCCAGTTGGAATCCTCCGACAACTGGTCATCTGCAACGAAGTCGGAAGTAATGGGCTGGTGCATTCCTGATTTATGAAATTAGTTGATTCTGAAAGCTGGAATTCTTGCTTCTCAGTCGTTAGAAGCAACCTGTTCGAATGCCGATCTCCAACGCCTTGCAGCGGCTCGTCCGTCAGAACCAACCTGTTCGAATGCCGATCTCCAACGACCTTGCAGCGGCTGTATGACGAGCTCTGGAGAACGTTTTTTCGTAGTTACAAACTCACAGCTTTTTATGATTTCCGTTCTCCGAACCACTACCACAGAATCGTCCTTGAGAACGCAAACAAAAGGATTCGTGTTTGACAACCAGCAGCCTCGTATCATTGCACTTGTCACCATGAAGCTGACGTAGAAATGTTTGACAAGGACGAGTTGTTTTCGACGATAAGTCCGGTGTTTTTCTGCTGAAGAATTGGGTAAGCCTCGCTGACTTGGTTATGTTCTGCCAGGTAGCTGACTGCAGTTAGTTTCAAACGGCTTGTTCGCTTGCAAGTGTGAGCTATATAAACAGGCAGGATTCGAACAGCACCTGCTCACTTCATTTGCCACAGCTGACTTACGAAGGGACGAGCCTATAAATGCATCACCATGCTCGGAAGTCGATCTGGTAAATCCATTGTCAGTTTCGAACTACTAGCCAAAAATCAGCTACTTGTGTGGCCTCCGCCGGGAAGTTAGTGCGTTTTGGTGACATCGTCTTTGACAAGGTAGAGGGCGAGCGTGGCTGTCTGGCGCTTTCAAGAAACACATCACTACCAAAATTAAAGAGGAAAAGTAAGAGAGGGCAGCTTTGTCTTACACAAATGGACGTGGTGAACTCAAGCGAAAGCTTGTTTTATACTCGTACACGTCTTCAGGAGTTTATATACTGTGCCCTCAGGACGCCCTTGATCGGTCGCCAAAAGCGAAAGCTTGTTTTATACTCGTACACGTCTTCAGGAGTTTATATACTGTGCCCTCAGGACGCCCTTGATTGGCCGGTCGCCAACCTGCGCAAAGTAGTGCCGGAGAACCTCAACTGCGGTGGATGCCTGGCTGATCCCACGATGGTTTTCGCATAACCTTCCTGTGCTCTTTTTAAGACGGATCACGCTAAGTGCTGTCCATCCAGTGGATCTATTTCCCCTCCCAAATCTTCCATAGCATCGCCAAACCGTGGATGAGGGTTTTACTCCCTTCTTTGAAGAGTGAAATGCCGACCATCTGATCCGAGTGCCTTGGAAGATTTCTGTATTTTTATTGTCAACAGCGGGCTGGTGTCGACGTCTCATTCATGCTCGTTGGTGTTCTTCAAGATGATTTGTTGAAAGAGGCCAACAGAAGCGCTGTTTAAAGCTTATCGCTCAAAACAGCGATTTTGTGAACGAATTACTGCTCCGTCTTCTTTGCACATTGTTTCGCTAACACGTGTCTTTTGATCGAACCAGGTGAAATAAGGCGCGGCTATCGCCTGCAGCGGGTGCCCTCTCCATTTTACGTGCCTTCGCAACTATCAGGAAGGTCAGATTCCTGAAAGCAACTTCAGAACGCCCGGAACCTACTGCTCCACCAAAAACTCAACTGGAAAGCCAGCAAGCATCCAGGCCAGTCAATCATTCAATCAATTCAGCAAAACCTGATGAGTGTTCTTGCGGCCACAGGAGCATGACCGAATGTGATCAGCGTTCAGGCTTTTCACAGAGGCACGATCGATGTTGATGGGTGTTCACTAACGCCTATCAGACAGCCTGGATCAATGTCAGAAAGTCCCCTTTAAATAGCGTGGGGCCGTTGTAACTTTTGCTCGCACTCTCACTCACTCGCTTGTTCGGAATACAGCTGTTGTGTTCCCTTCTGTGAGTCTTTTCTCTCCGACACTAGGCACTGGAGTGGGTCAGCAGCAGATACCACAGATTGACGAATCAGCAGATATAACAGCAACCCATCAACGTTCGCTTTCATTCTTCAAGCTTTTGATTATCCGGCGTTTGAGTGATCTGCATCCGCCGTCACAGTCCTCAATCGCTGGCATGGCTTTTTGACAGCAATAAGACCTGATGTCCACATATCCAGTGCCCATTTAGTCCAGTCGGGTCGCTTGGACCGAGTGTCCAAAGAGCCGAAAGCACAGCTTCCTTAACTCGCTCGCAGCCTCCAAGTAATCTCGTCATCAGAATGACGGTGCGTTTCTAGCGGCTTTCCAGACCGTTCCACCCGATACTGCCTAACCTCCGAAGTTCGTTGAAGTTAGTGAACTTAGTCGCTCCGCTTCTGCATGCGTGACGTAGACGAAAAATAAACTGTTGACCGCGCCCACACAGGGCATCATCGAAGTGAAGTTGCGTCCCTCAGGAGGGACGACAGTCTGAGGCTATCCATCAGCAGTGATCGCCGCGTGACCAAACTGGGTCCGTTGTCGGCTCGCGGTTCTTGAACTCTTGAGTACTTATGCTGAAAGTTCATACGGCTAGCAACAGATGATGTTCATTTCACAACTGAAGAAGTCGCTCTAAGTCATCTGTTCTTTGAGTGTCGACTCCGAATCTATCACCCAATGGGCTTCTCCGTGGCTTATTCGTCCAAGCTGACTATATCCGTCCTAATTGCTGACGAAAGCAGTCGTGATATATGTTGATGAAACCCGTCCTTCTTAGACTGGGAACAACAGTCTGTCGGGCACATGCTGACATGACTAATAAACACTGTTTACCGGGTCAACCTATACGGATCTTATTTGAACCAAATAACTGTGCATCGCAAAGACTTACCGGAATTCATTCCTGTAAAGTGCTTTCAGTTTTGTGTCTAGGTGCGAATCCCACACCATAGCTACTACAAGCCGTGGTGTCAGGACCACCAGGTACCTGAAGAGTGAAATATGGAACATCTGAGCTCATCCTAAACCATTTGAGGTGCACAACCGATATACGTGTTTCGGAAACACAGCGCACAACAGAGAAGGATATATGTTGCCCACTTTGATATAAATTAGATGAAATTTATGACCGCACAGCAGTGAAGCATCAGTGTCAACACTGATGATGATGCCATCCATGTTTGTGGACTCAGAGTGACGCCAGTGTATGCCTCAACTTCGAGCTGTAGCGACTAACCAGATGCGGCGTTAAAGAATTCCAAGGTTAGTGACAGTATCGCACTCAGGTTTTTTTCACTGTGTACCTGGATGTGGACTTTCTGTGATTAGTAGCGTAACTTACTGAGGTCCGCTTGCTTTGTAGATGATCCAGCTAGCAAGATTGTCCATAGTGATTGTTGGTCAGCGGAGTCAAGCGTGGTGCGAAGATCGATGAATCATGTTGAAATTCACATCGGCCTAGGGTAAAGAGCTCAAGTAAGCTGTTCAAGGGCGGAAATCGCCTTGATTTGATCTTGGGTGTCTGGTCCTTCCTCGGCGAAATGTTGTATGTGAGGGGACGCTAGTATCTTCATCGCACAGTTGATTCCACGGCAGTTAACATCACTTTCTTTTGAGAGGGACAAAGTGCATTAATCTGGAGACACAGATTTCGTCCGCTGTATCGAGTAAAATATTTTATGGAGGGGCTTGAGAAGTCTGGTGGTTGTGGACTTCAGCCTGAATTCCGTTTACTCCTATGTATTTTGCACTCGGGGCGAGATGGTCCAAGTGGTTAGAGCGCGAATTCACTGACCGGAAGGTCCGTGGTTCGAACCCGACCTCTGACTCTCGACTTCCCCTGTCTAGGCTTAGGCAACCTGGCAGTATCCCAACCCTCGTGCTTCCTTCGGGTAGCATGGCAGGTAGGCACCGAAAGGGCGCTACAGCTGAACGACAATCAAAACAATTTTGCACTCTTTGTTTCATGATCGTGGCAATTTCCATCTCCTTTGACTGCTTGCATTCGCTGTTGTGCGAATTCGAGGTTGAGTTTGAACGTCCTGGGCCTCAGTTGATTAATGATAAAGCAGCTGCTTGAAGTATTCCGCCCAATCTTGCTCGTGGCCGACCGATTTTATTCAACCGACCAGTTGAGTGATCGCGGATCCGAGACTACCTACTGGAGTATCGTAATATGCGCACTGCTGATGATCCCCTGTACAGCGCTTCTCGGCCTTTAGGCATGGAGTCGTTCCACTTACACGACGAAATCTCCATTAGAAAATTCCGATGCCTCACACTTACAGCTCTAGATCTACTTTCTTTCGCGTTTATATCTCCGCGAACCACAACAATATTTGGGGTCTTGTTCGTCACAGAGCATCGTAGAAACTGCTCTTGTGAGTTCCGAAGCTATAGTCTATTGGGGCGTCAATATCGACAGCTAAGATCAGTGTTCAACACTGGTGCCCTGTTGGCGTAAGCAGTCAACAAACAGCGATTATCGGGGCGTTTCCGGATACTCTCGCATATATTGCTAAACGAAGCGCACACCGATTATCGATGGGCAATCGGTTCCTTCAGCTCTGACTCCAGCAGGGCCGGTCATACTAGCCTCCAGAAGAAACTGATTGCGAAGTCACTAAAAACTGTTTTAATGTCTTGAATGCTTGTTCCAGACAGGCGGTACACATCAGTAGAAGCGAGTCTACCGCATATGAAGAGCAGTAATGTTGTTCGGCAGTGAAGCATCAGTGGCAACACTGATGGTGATGATGAATGTCGTTCGGCTTGTTTCAGACTGTGAACGTTAAGGGTTGCCAGATGAACTGTGTTAAGGTTTGAAGAATGATTTCGAAATGTCTGCGACCCTGGATATTGCAGCTCACGGCAGTGGGTGTAGTACTGACTTCTGAGTGCTTAAGAATGGACCTTATCTACGGAGACGTCTCTAGAAACCGAGTGAGAATGGGAAGAAAGAATATGTGGAGGATAGAAGAAGCCAGTTTTCGCTTACTCGCCCTGTTATATGCTGTAAGTAAGGCGGCTGGGCTGATCATCATCACCCACAGCCTAACATCAATGTTCAGCACTGATGCTTCGCTGCCATATGACCATAATTTATTTGAAAAGCTTATTGTGAAGAAACTATAAAAGTGAATGGGGAAGGGATTTAATGCTAACCTACCACAGCCATTCGGATGTCCCTACACATCAAGTCACTCATTCAGACAATATGGACCAAAAAATGCCGTTCACATCAATTAGCACACATACCTTGCAGCGTCTACGACCGGGCACAATGGGAATCACACTAACACCATCCCAAAAGGTTGGTTTCACCGGCGTCGCTCGAACTTCCGCCAATCTCTTTGACACAACTCTGCCAGGCTAAAGGTTGGCCACTCAGTTTCCTTCCTGAATTGGGCGCGGAAGACGGCACTCTTGGCATATGATTATTCAACCTAACCACCCGTATTTTGATGCTGGACACATTCTTCTATTCAACACATGTTTTCCAGTTTCTTCGCTGACACCTTTCTCTACAAGGTTTGGTTCTGATATCTGAAGACATCTCAGTTCGGCTGCCCGAAGAGACCACATTTCATGGCTGTTCAACAACGAAACAGTCCCTGCTACAGCCTGATACACACGTCCCGTGAGATTCAGTGATATGCTGTTTTTCCTCAGTTATCCAATCAATGCGGGAATCACACTAACACCATCCCAAAAGGATGGTTTCACCGGCATCGCTCGAACTTCCGCCAATCTCTTTGACACAACTCTGCCAGGCTAAAGGTTGGCCACTCAGTTTCCTTCCTGAATTGGGCGCGGAAGACGGCACTCTTGGCATATGATGATTCAACCTAACCACCCGTATTTTGATGCTGGACACATTCTTCTATTCAACACATGTTTTCCAGTTTCTTCGCTGACACCTTGCTCTTCAAGGTTTGGTTCTGATATCTGAAGACATCTCAGTTCGGCTGCCCGAAGAGACCACATTTCATGGCTGTTCAACAACGAAACAGTCCCTGCTACAGCCTGATACACACGTCCCGTGAGATTCAGTGATATGCTGTTTTTCCTCAGTTATCCCAATCAATGCGACCGGAGTCTTAGAGTTTGGTGCTTTGAGCTCATCTGTCACAGTGCAGTCAGAACTAATAACTTCAAATATACGTAAAACTCGCCACAACCTCTGGTATCTCTCCCTGGATTGTAATTGGCATATTCAGTGACTTCATGTCCAGAAGTATGACCTCACAATTTGTGGATGCACAGCGCATTCCAAAGAACGGAACGACTTTGGTCAGCTCATTCAAGAATACCTGTACCCTTTACTGGCCTTCGAAGACGTTAACATTATCTGCATATTCTGCTTCCGAAAGTGCATATGCTTATTTGAAAAAATGCGAACAATTAGGTCAGTTCTTCAGTGATGAGTTTGAGCGGTGATGGTTTGTGTGGTCGTCCTTGCCGGACAACACCGCCCGTTGAAATGGTTTTGGAGAGCTTGCGGTACACGATCGTATGCTGGCAAGTTTGTGACTACAAAGAGGCTGTAGTGTCTGCGAACTTCTGTGGCGTAGCTGTGCACAAAGTGCTCAACTTTAAGGGAACCTTTTCTATTTCGAGCCTACTTATGTGCTGTTTCGAATGTCTTGCTTCTCAGAGACAGTGTTTGCACCCGAGGCAGTATCTCAATCGCAGTGATTTGCATATAATCGGCTATGTTTACCAGCCTATCAACCACAGTCGTCAGTCGCTTCACCGGTGATAGGCATCTGGCGAATAAATTGCTTGAGTAGGCCTATCGCTAGCAGTCTACACAACAGCGTGATTGGTCCAACACCGTACCGAGCCCTTTTGTTTCTATGGTTAGTTTTCGGTTACCATCCCTTTTGTCACCGTAACGGTGGATTCCAGTGAACATCCAATGCGGTTCGTTGTGTCTTATTCCGAGTAGCCATCCAAACCGCGCATTAATCACATGTGGTGCGCCAGCTCTTTGATTACCTCGTGGTTGTCGATGGTCCGGGAATTTCAAAACTGATGAATACCATTCTCACAGTTGATTGGGCTCATTTGTCCTGGCAACTCTGAAGAGTCACTGGCCTTGGTTGCTTCGGGCGCGCCATGCCACAAAATCTAAAGCATGACACGGTTAGGTCCATGAAAGCAATGTGGGTGCCCTTCATCTGGTCTTTTGGAGCACCGTCAAGGTTGTCTGATTGCCACTGCACTATCTAGTATAGTATAGTATAATATAGTATAGTATAGTGTATAGTATAGTATAGTATAGTATAGTATAGTATAGTATAGTATAGTATAGTATAGTATAGTATAGTATAGTATAGTATAGTATAGTATAGTATAGTATAGTATAGTATAGTATAGTATAGTATAGTATAGTATAGTATAGTATAGTATAGTATAGTATAGTATAGTATAGTATAGTATAGTATAGTATAGTATAGTATAGTATAGTATAGTATAGTATAGTATAGTATAGTATAGTATAGTATAGTATAGTATAGTATAGTATAGTATAGTATAGTATAGTATAGTATAGTATAGTATAGTATAGTATAGTATAGTATAGTATAGTATAGTATAGTATAGTATAGTATAGTATAGTATAGTATAGTATAGTATAGTATAGTATAGTATAGTATAGTATAGTATAGTATAGTATAGTATAGTATAGTATAGTATAGTATAGTATAGTATAGTATAGTATAGTATAGTATAGTATAGTATAGTATAGTATAGTATAGTATAGTATAGTATAGTATAGTATAGTATAGTATAGTATAGTATAGTATAGTATAGTATAGTATAGTATAGTATAGTATAGTATAGTATAGTATAGTATAGTATAGTATAGTATAGTATAGTATAGTATAGTATAGTATAGTATAGTATAGTATAGTATAGTATAGTATAGTATAGTATAGTATAGTATAGTATAGTATAGTATAGTATAGTATAGTATAGTATAGTATAGTATAGTATAGTATAGTATAGTATAGTATAGTATAGTATAGTATAGTGTATCTTGCGTGATCTGATTTTATTTCGATTACCCTCACTTTGTTTCCAAATAACAACTGTTCTTGTCCAGTCACCATGTTCCATACCGTCTCACCCGCTCTCATTCCTTTCAGTTATTCCGCCGAATAGCCTCGGAGTTGTTGAACAAAGAAAATCCCCCGCCAAGGCATGACGACTGTATCCTTTTTGAGATTCAATCTCGCTACCGGGAATTTAGGTTTTCCTTTTATCGGCTTGATGTGGAACCTGTGCTGTTGAAGAACAGTGTTTTGTGTATAACTTGGAACCCGTTTCTGATACGGAACACGACCATCCATAGAGATGACGGTTGTAGTCTACTTGTTAACGCCTGTGTAAAACGCTGAACCCCTCCTGGTTATGATTCCTCCAAAGCAGGGATACTCCCCATTCGAGCCCCACGAAACTTAATCCGGACGAAAGTATATTGTTTACTTCGACTCTCGGGAGACGAGACTTATCGTCATCGCTCTACAACTGTTGTTTCATTCACCGCTCTTCGGTTTAATTTCACACATTTTGAAAAGAAGTTAAGGGGTTAATGAATACGTTTCTCTCAACCGAGTTATCTGCGGACGGTGTGCTTTTGGTGGATGGCAAGTCCACAAGTATAAAGCTCCTTCTCAATCGTCTTATTTGGAAAACCAGACAGTTCCGGTTGTGTTTGAGAGAGAGAGAGAGAGTTGTTTGCAATGAACCGTTTCTAGTGGGTGCCATGTGCGATGAAGGGTTCCTATTAACAAATGACATTCCAGTCTCGATGTGTGCTTTCGAGAGCGACATAGCTCGATTTTGTAGGAGCGCGAATCTATTGACCGGATGGTCCGTGGTTCGAACCCGACCTCTGCCTCTCGACCTCCGCTGTCTAGGCTTGGACAACCTGGCGGTATCTCCTTTGGTTGGCATGGTAGCTAGGCACTGAAAAGGGTGTTACAGCCGAAAGATTTTTTGTCTCGCGTGTTCCATTGTCAAATCGCTGTGCACATGGTACGGACCTGACCCTTTTTAAAAGCATGACAAGGGCAAAATTCTTATATGATTGAATTAGGAGTAGACGAAAATGCTGTTTTTACTGAGGGACGTCGCATTCCTTGTGAGGTGTGCTCTTCACTAGCCCCAAAAGTCTTTCGGTTTCCTCAAGCACGCAAGATGGCGATTTAGTTGTTATCAGTTCAGCGAACAGTTTCCATGAGAAGTTTATGTTGAGAGTTCCGAATATTGTGTCCTGAATGTGAGCGGAGAAAGCCAGAAGAGACAAGTGCTCACAACAGTATTCTGTGCGCCATATTTTCGGTTGTCTAGGGGGATGAGTAAGCTCGTTTGTTTGGCGAGCACGCTCACTGATTTGATCGTCGTCCGCCTTTACACATCCGTAGGTTTTCGGTTTTATCGAGGGACAACACCGCAGATATCTCTGTGTCAGATACCACCTCTGTGATCAAAAACTTCGTTTTGACGTTGCCGCACCGACAACTAGTGTGATCTTCGTGATCAGATAAGATTGGCTTCTTGAGTGGGATTCTCAGTGACCGTTGTGATTTTCCTTGATGCTTGGTCCACCGCATCGTTGCTGCCACATTTCGTCTTAGCTCAGACTAGTTGTATGCGTATCTCAGTATGATGTGAGCTAAGTATAGTTTGAGCTCGAGTCTCTGGTCAACTGGTTCTTAATCCAGGTTCATTCGCCTTCCCCGGACTTTTGTGTTGCCTTGTGTCATGACATGGGCGTGAGACAGCTCGGTGAGGCGCGAACTTAGTGACCATGCATCTTGACTGCTGTTTAGGTTTTGGCAATCTGGCCATAATATGACGGTGCGCACCAAACTGGCGGAACGATCATTAGTTTTTCAGGTCATGAATAACCTCACGATTTCTCGAGCTTTACTGCGTAGTATGCGATGGCCGTCTGGCACCCAAGGTCGTCGTTTCTTTGGATGTTAATAAGGTGCTGGTTGTTCTGTTCACCGACCTTTGCTATTGGCTCGCAAACGTTTCCTCGCCGTGCGAGGAGACATAATCTTTCGGCGATTGAATCGTCAATTCATCCTTTTATGTTTGCGACTGTGTGGCTTCTGATTGGCATTTAATAACCGCAACCTGATTGGCTGTTCACAGCTTGCTCAACACGTAATCCGGTTGGTCCTTTCGAGACTTGGGTTGCTTTGTGGTCCGGTTATCTTGCACGAATTTCATCACTTCTATTGTTGTTTTATGAAGGCCACTTCAACACCCCAGAACCCTCGCGGTTTCTCGCTTACTTCCTTGACCCACATCTTACCCTCCCCGCACTTCTGTGTGCTTCTGGTTGTCGTTCTGTTTTTTTAGTGATTGAAATCAAACTATCCGATACTATCAATAATGACAATGCTAAAAGGCGTGGCTGTTTTTGTTAATGGTAACTGGCTTTCCGTGTGTGTGTGTGTGTGTGTGTGGCTGTGTTCTGTCCCATCCTACTACCCATGGGTTTTATTACCGACACCAAAGAATACCATTTTGTTTTCGTTAACTGAGATGCCCACCCACGTCTTCGAGTGTGCACTCACCTTAGGACGTTTGAATCCCTTGTGTGAACAGTTTTTTGTCGGTTGGGTGTGGGCTTTATCTAATTTGTTGGACCTCGTTTACAACCGTGTCGGTGTGCGAACTTCACCGGCGTGTCAAATTTATTTCCTTAACTCTCGAAATCTCACATCTCCCGGTGTTCGCACTTTTGCTCTGGTGCTTGCCCATCTCTGTGCTGCCGTTCCGCTCGTTTCTCGCCTAATTTGCTGTCCATTGCAGATATTGAACTGAAGCCAATCGAGCCACCGCAAGAAGCACAATGGAAAACGTGTGGTTGTTGATCTAGCCTGTTCTGTTGTTGCATTCTCTCTCTCTCTCTCCGGTAATTTCAATCGCCCACGTCTCTGGCCAACCCAGATATCCTACTTTCGGTTGTTTTGTCATGTCCACAATATCTTGGCTTGTCAGGTTGTCTTCGGATACAGGGGCGATTGCTTTGGGACAGGTAATGGGTGAGCGCCATTCAACCACTTCAACACCCCAGAACCCTCGCGGTTTCTCGCTTACTTCCTTGACCCACATCTTACCCTCCCCGCACTTCTGTGTGCTTCTGGTTGTCGTTCTGTTTTTTTAGTGATTGAAATCAAACTATCCGATACTATCAATAATGACAATGCTAAAAGGCGTGGCTGTTTTTGTTAATGGTAACTGGCTTTCCGTGTGTGTGTGTGTGTGTGTGGCTGATTGTGTTCTGTCACCCATCCTACTACCCATGGGTTTTATTACCGACACCAAAGAATACCATTTTGTTTTCGTTAGCTGAGATGCCCACCCACGTCTTCGAGTGTGCACTCACCTTAGGACGTTTGAATCCCTTGTGTGAACAGTTTTTTTGTCGGTTGGGTGTGGGCTTTATCTAATTTGTTGGACCTCGTTTACAACCGTGTCGGTGTGCGAACTTCACCGGCGTGTCAAATTTATTTCCTTAACTCTCGAAATCTCACATCTCCCGGTGTTCGCACTTTTGCTCTGGTGCTTGCCCATCTCTGTGCTGCCGTTCCGCTCGTTTCTCGCCTAATTTGCTGTCCATTGCAGATATTGAACTGAAGCCAATCGAGCCACCGCAAGAAGCACAATGGAAAACGTGTGGTTGTTGATCTAGCCTGTTCTGTTGTTGCATTCTCTCTCTCTCTCTCCGGTAATTTCAATCGCCCACGTCTCTGGCCAACCCAGATATCCTACTTTCGGTTGTTTTGTCATGTCCACAATATCTTGGCTTGTCAGGTTGTCTTCGGATACAGGGGCGATTGCTTTGCGACAGGTAATGGGTGAGCGCCATTCAACGCGCGTCTGTTCGTTCCACCATCAGTGCTTCAATCAGTGTTTTCCACATCTTCATTGAAATTGTTTTTTCTGTTTCCCCGAATTGTGACCTTTTTCTGAGTACTTTTGTTTTCTCTCCTTAAGTTCACTGCTGGAACCATCACGTGAACAAACGTGCCTAAACATACGCACCCTGTACAGGCCTCTTGGTACCCTTCCTCAGTTCGGTTGTCAGCGATCGTTCGGCCCCGGTTTTACCGCGAAACCACTTAATTTTGTTGTTGATTGTATTGTTTCGTTTCTAATTTTTCCTGTGACACGCTAACTCTCACTTGTGGTTATTTATTTTCTGCCTATCGTATGTCTGCCCAGGACCAATTCCGTCTTTCTGTTTCTGTGTCCGCGTTAGCAACATCAAGAACAAGGACGATTTTGAAGTATATGGTTTTCGGCTACTGTATGTGTGGGATTAAAGTTGCTTGTGTTTTCTCGTTATTGCGGTTTTGGGGGAGACCGCCACCTGTTTTGCTGATTCCTAATAACTCGCCTCAGTTCGGTTTGCTCCAGATCTGTCTGTCTTTCTGTGCGGAACTGTTCCATGTGGATACTACGAACTACTATAACTTCCAGCCAGGAGAGGCGAATCCACGATAGCGTTTCTCATCGGCCAGAACCGATGCGAAAGAAGAACGAGTGTGTGTTATCGGGGAGGTTGGTCGGAACCGTCCAGTCGTTTGGCCTATGTTTCACAGCCACAAACAGCGAAGTTAAGCTATGTAACGCGCAGTCTGCGCGTGTCCCTGATAATTCGAGCAGACATCGGAGGTTGTGAGACATTTCATATGTTACACCGGATGGAGAGATGACGGATCTCAAAGGTAGGGTTGCACTTCTCAATTTGCTCAGCTTGTCGCTTCAAAAAGGTGTCGGAGGGTTCATGTGTCCGTATATCATGCCTCTACGAAGCACGACATTTGCAGACGAATGATTTGGGGCATCGTCAGTTTTTTTAACCATCATCGACAGCATGACATCAGTGTTCAACCCCGATGCTTCACTGCCGTACCCTGAGTTGTACGAGGGCTGGGATACTGCCAGGGCACCCACGCCTAGACAGGAGGACGATTAGGATCATCAACCAAAGCTTTTGGCTCTAAAGCCCAACCGCAAGGCAGCGGTGTTTGGCGAGGAATGCAAATGCATTAGCATTTCTACGGAACAAGTCATCACATGTCCCAACCTAGAGGGCCATGTTTACGCATGGTTCAGCTGCGACTGTTGTTGACCTTATTTACTTTGGAGGTATCCTCCTTCCTAATATGCGAAATACCTCACTTTCCTGGTGGTCTTTCTTGGGGATCACCTTATCTGGCGTTGTCCTCCGTAGGCGAGTACTTGTGACAATGTTAAGTCGGTCTTTCCGGAAGCAGAGGCGTGTTCCGAAGGAAACGAATTCCAGTTTAATTGCAAAGCTGTGAGTCAGTTTGTTCTACTGGGACTATTCTGATTTGGTTGAAATGTTTGCCGCTGAGAGAACGGTTGGCCGTTCTTTCATCTCTCACTTAGCAACAGCGCTCATTCTCCGATCAACGCGTGGCTGGATTCCCGTCTCTCATATTATCGAAATGGATGTCATCTCAAGACTGGCTCTCTGGTCATTCATGTAATCGGTCATTGCTGGCACAGCACAAATGTCAAACGACTTAACAAGTGAGAATCGAGGTTTAAATGCGTATCAAAAGGTATCTTTGTGTCCCCAGCAGTTGTTAGCGGAATGGCAGAGTTCAGTTGGCTCCTGTTCGATTGCGCAACTGAGTTCGTTTCAGCCTTAGGCTATTGATGAAGCAACGGACAGTCGGTTGATACGTGATGTCTTTTCACTCACATCAGGGCAGTGGTGATATCTTTGGATTGAGTTTTGACTCGTGTCTCATGTGGTGAGTTTAGTTACTGTTACTACTGAGGGGCCGTTGCCGGCTTTGACTGATCGCTTATGCCGGATGATGATATCTTCAGACCGTATCCTGATGCTCATTGATCGCTTCCGCGGACCTCCATGAGATTCCAACGGGCAACGGAGGAAGATTCAACCATTTGATTGTCTCCGATGTGCGCTCATCATCCGCGTTAGCTGGGTCATGTGAATGAGACAGCATCCCCACCGTGCAAGCCATTCAATACGGGGCTTCGAAGATTTGCACGTCGAATACGCCGGATGCGGAGCTACAATTGTCACGAAACGTATCTTTAGAAATTGGATACCAGGACCTATTCATCCAGTGTAACCGAGTTAGACGGAACAAAACAAATAATGGCTTCAAAAGAATTCGTCTCTCTTGAAATACCATGAACCGTTGATCGTTTATCGGGCTCCTCAGACCTTCAATGAATGTGAATTGGCGACTCACCTTTAATGCCGTGCGGCTACGCATGTAAGCTTAGACAAGGACGTTGTCGTTGCGACCTATCAAAACACTACTCAGTCTTATCAGTAAGTCACTGAATGTGCAGTAAAACGGATGGGTAGAACCGACAGGAGACAAACAAGCACCTGTTTCATCGAATTCTGAGGCTGTTACATGACTCGTAGTCCGCCGGTACTGAGGTCTATTCCGACTTCGTTGACGAGATGCCTGATTGAGCTGCATTCATCGTATTCGTTATCAGGTGTAGCCAATCAGAGCAGCTCAAGCTTTCTAAGTATTGTTTGCGAATCGGTTCAAGTTCTTGTTGTGAGCACAAAAAAACATTTATGGGGAACCTGAGTTTGTTCGAATTATGGAAAACAGGTATCCCGTTGGGTTTTGTCAATCAGCTTTTGAGATTTTACTACGGTACTTGAAGCAGTATCGTCACGCAGTTGAGTTGCTCTACTTGCGCTCCTCAAAGTATTCAATGGCATTTGGTTTGCCGTTCGGTGTCCTGTCACTGGCTCACAAGACTGATCTCCATCTATGCAAATGTCCTTTTTGTTGCTGTTGTTCCGGACTTACAGACTCCTGATGAGGTAAATGAGGGCACTAGCACGGACAAGTGTACTTTAGAGTGGTCGCCTGGGAATGAGGTTTCGCTCTCATTACTGGACACCTGTATATTGTTTTGAACAGCGATACGCCGGTAATAAATGCTGATTCGTAACTACAGAGGTAGTGTGCATGTTATCTGTTGATTCGCCAGTCTGTTGTATCTGGCTACTGACCCGCTCCAGTGCCTAATACCGGAAAAAAGACTCAGAAGGGAACACAATAGCTGTATTCCGAACAAGCGAGTGCGAAAATACAGTGGCCTCAAGTTATTTATTGGAGGGACACTGTCTGAACGCGGTCCAATGCTGACGCAAGCGGTATGGCTTTGCTATGAGGCTGTGACGCACTGTATATTGCCGGGGCGTTGTTTGATCTTGATCAACACTGACTCGTGCTGTCTGGGTTCGATACAGGGCTGTGAAGCGCTGCATACTGAGGGGGCGTTGTCTGCCTGGTCAGTATCTAGCGGAGCTGAGGGTCTCAGTAGATTTCGGCATTCAGTGGTTGCTTTGAGGGATCTTACCTTCCTGACAGTACCGATGAGCGTTGGTTTGTTTGAGCTGGATGATTCAGCTGCTGACGTTTCACCACCATTAAGGTGACGACATCAGTAAGTTGCGACTGCCGGTGCGTGGTCGTTTCGCACGCATGGGTTTATACAAGGTTTGCTCACCTGGGTCGACCTTGACCGATCATTGATCGCTTGGGTGAACATTCCCATTGGTCTGTTGGTCAAGCTATCCTCTGATTGGCTGGTTTCCGGGTAACCTCGATGGATTAAAGTTTCAGAGTCAGTTATGTCAGCCACGGAATCCCTGTGAGCTACGCATGCACTTTTTGCATCTTTGAAAACATAGCGGGAGCGGAAAGCTTATTGGTGAGTAATGTAGGAATAGTGTAAAATGAGAAAAGTGCGTATGTTGCGTGCTCTAAACACGAGGCTAAACGGACTTCTCCAGAATGATCTCCCGTTTGGGAGCAACTGTATCAGCATGTCTGTCTAAAGTTACAAGACTGTAGAAGCAGGTGGGCAGGTCGCCGTCCCGCTAAGTTCTGTTGGCCGTTGTCATCTTCAGTGACACAGTAAGACTGATTCGCTTTTGAAGTAAGTACTAGTCAGTCTATAAGTGATGTTGGTCGGAACTCATGTAATATGTTGACATTGGTGCTCGTGGTTGGCAGTGCTTTCCCACTGTGGACGACTCCTAAAAATTAGCCGTCTGTCGGGAAGAATTTTCGGGCAGAAAACTGCTAGTTTCGTGCTGCTATCGTAAAATGTCATAGATCCATTCTCTCGAGATAGTGCCCACTTTGAGATCCTCTCGGACTGTCGGTGACCAAACTCAAACAACGCTCAGTTTGACTTGTAAAGCTAAGTTCTGGTAACATACGTGGACGCACTTCAGTTATATCTTTCTCCATACGAGGCAAGGTGCCATAGCCCAGTTGGTTTGTTAATATTGGAGCGTAAGGTGCCAGAGCTGATAATAGAGCAACTTAGATCTTCGATCAGCTTGGAAAGTTTGCCGAGCAGTTCAGCGTCCACCGATATCCCTCCCCACCCCTTCCCAGTGCACAAGCAAACGTCGCTGGGCCATTTGATGATGATGTCAATTAACGGCTCTCGTTGGTTAGTGTGGTTGTCAAAATCTTGCGTTGGTGGATTGGGGGAGTCTCAAATTAATTCCGATCGGGTTTGGTTCCTTAATCTTCCACTTCAATATGTTTCGACTGATGATTCACCGTGGCTGCCGCTGGTAGATTTTGTTGGGCTTTGTGGGGTTGCGAGTGCTGCGACAATTTAGTTAGGGGGTGAGGTCAAGTGGAATTCAGACGATGACTACTCCTCCTTCTGATGACGCACGCCAACACGTGTTAGTTCGACTGATTCAAAACCGTTCTTCACATGCTTGCCAGTTCCACGCCTTCTATTCTGTTGACACTGGGTAGCTTGGCGATTTCTACTGCCTCGGCTATCAGTCTCTGTGACCGTAGTGGACCGTTGTCCTCGCCTCAAAACCTCAACATTTTCTACTTCTATTTTATGTCCAGTAGGTGTTCGCAACTGCCGACTCTTTCAGTAACGCTAAATATTAATCTACATTTCTCAGCGGCCTGTTTTTTTTCTTATGTTCTCTGGCAGTCTGTCCTGTACAGACCTTGGTGCAGTCGTTCAGCTTGATTTTGTAGACACAGTCCGGCGTTAACAGCCCAGTTAAAAACTACCGATTGTTTACCAAGGCCTTTTGAAACGACAACCTAAATCTTGTTCATACAAATTTGTTTTTCGCGGCTTACTCACCTGGAACCCAGCTTAAATCTCGTTTACGGTGTTCTTCAACTGAATGTACTGATCCAGGCCGCCTCATGTTTCAGCTGATACGATGTTCGAGGTTTCGCAATACACTGTCTAGACGGAACAGACTACTCATAAGGTTGCTGAAGACTCTTCTTATCAGTATTACCTGCGTGTATCAAGCGGATCTGTCTGCTGACGGGATGGACGAGACAC